CCCACCCCCTTCTCCCCTCTCCTCATCTTCCTAGGATAGGTGACAGTGTCCCCACAGCCCTAGAATCCCACCCCGGCCTCTGGGAAAGAGAGCAAGGCCTCCCCCACTACTAAAACAATTAGGCTGCCCAATCCCATTAGTCTAGCCAGTAAACAATGGTCTCATTCCTTTCCAGCCCAGATTCCAAGGCTGATCCTCTGGCCCTTGCCCCTGGGGCCAGGAATCCTGGGAAGTGGCTCCACTGGAAATCCACAATTAGCATTTGGGTCTCTTTGGCCTTGGTCTCCCGGCCCACTGCCGGTCCTGCCCAGGTGCCTGCCGGAGAAGGAAAGGATGTTTCCAAGTCCCTCCTCCCCTCACAGGAGTCAACACATGAAAGGTTTTAAGGCGTCCCTTCCAAACCACCAGTTCTGTCCAATAAATAAATGTGCTTATAAGCATGTCTTAAGTGTCTGTCTGTGATGACCCCCTGCAAGCTCAGCCCCAGATCAGCCTCTTTCAAATCACCCTTTAGCAATTCTTGGTGTCATTGCAGGAAGCCATAGAACATTTCACTGACCACAGGCACAGCATTTCTGCTTGTGGGTGGGACAGGGAGAGAGAAAATTGGCGATGCTGGCCGTGTGACCCTTCATCCTCTCCCAAGCAGGGCCTCAGTTTCCTTCAAACTGGGAAGAAAGTGTGTAGTCTTCTAAGGATGTGGAAATGCAAGTGATTGTCAGACTGGGTTTTCCAAGGCCCCACAAAAAGGGCAGGCTAACAATTCAATCACTTTATCTCAAATGAGATAATGTATGCAAAGTGCTTTGCAAAATTGCAACCAGAGGCTGTGATTATTCTGAAGCCTTGGGCCCCAGCTGGGGGGAGGGGAGAGGTCCACCAATAATTAGGTATTAAATGGGTTTGGTTTCTGCCCCTCCTTCTACTAGGTTACAACATTGCACACAGGGAATAATTTTAGGATGCAGAGGACCTCGGAACCACCGGTTATTCATTATCTTTCTAGGCCAAGTAAGAGTGACTGCTTTCCTCACCTGTGGGCTAAACCACTGGATTCGAACCTGAGACTCCAGGCCCCTTACAGCTGCCTCCATACTCACCACAGGCAGTAACAGGGCCATTGAATAGCTTTGTAACTTCTGAAGGTCTCAGAAGCCTGTTCTTTGAGTACACCAGGGACTCTCTCCAGAGATAAAGGCTCTCTGTCTCCTTGGATGTAATTAGGCCAAACTCTAAACTTCCCCCACACACAACACCTAAATTCAGTGCTTGAGAACCCAGGTGGACACAACATCCCAGAATTTTAGACGTGGAAGGACTACCAGAGATCTTCCCATTCGACCCTTCCATTGGACAGTTATCAAAATCACAGCCAAAAAAGAGCATTAGCCCTTGGGGTAGTGATCCCAAAGCACCACTGTGAGCAGATAGATGCTTCAAGTTTCATTGGTCCTTTCTCCTTAGCTTTTACTTTCCAAGATCACAGGACCATCTGTCTGGAGTTAGAAGGGATCCTCGAGATCTTGCAGTCTGATCCTCCCGATTCTCCAGATGAGGAAACTGAGGCACCCACTGAGAAGTGAAATGACATGGCCACATTAACTTAATGGCACAAAGAGGCAGAGCCAGGGTCTGAATCCCTGTTGTCTTACTCTTTCCACTAAGTCTCAGTATATCTAACCCTTTTTTCTCATTGTTTTGTTTCGTTTTGTTTCCTTCTAGTTTGCGGTATTCCTCCCCAGGTCCAGCTTGTCAATACTCCTCCTGAAGAGCTCCTTCCTTACTCTGGCTGCCCAGGATCACAGCCTTCAATCGGGACCTGGAAAACCACCCTCTCTCCACCCCCACCATCTAGCCCTCCTTCCTCCTCATCGTTCAGGTGGAGAAGCTGAGATCTAGCCTGAGAGGAGATGAAGGGACATGCCAAGAACTCATAGAAAACAAGGAATAGGACTGCCCAAATGTTCACATACATACCATACATAAACATAAGTCAGCGAACATTAAGCACTTACTATGTGCCAGGCACTGTGTTAAGTGCTGGGGATAAGAAAGGTAAAAGACATTCCCTGACCTCAAGGAACTCATGGTTACAGGAGAGAGACAACAAGCAAACACATACAAACAAGCTCAAATAAATAGGAAATAATCAACCTCGGGAAAGGCTTCCTGTAGAAGGTGAAATTTTAGTTGGGACTGAAAGGAAATCAGGGAAGCCCGGAGGCAAAGGTGGATGGGGAGAGCAACCAGGCACTGGAGACAGCTCTCAAAAATGCCCAGAGCTAAGGAGAGTGTGTCAGTTTAAGGAGGCCCTGCCGCTGCAGCACAGTGTGTGTGTGTGTGTGTGTGTGTGTGTGTGTGTGTGTGTGTGAGAGAGAGAGAGAGACAGAGACAGAGACAGAGAGAGAGAGAGAGAGAGAGGTGGAAGAAGACTAGAAAGGTAGAAGAGGCCACTTATGAAAGGCTTTAAGTGACAAACAGAAGATTTTACATTTGCTCCTGGAGGTGATGGGAGCCAAGAGTAGTCAGAGCTGTGATTTAGGAAGGTCACTTTCACAGATAAGAAAAGGATGCACTGAAGTGGGGAGAGACAGCGGTCAGACCAAAGCTATTGCAGTCATCCAGGTGTAAGGTGATGAGGGCCTGTACCAGGATGGAGATGCTGTCAAAAGAGAGAAAGGGGCATATGTGAGAGATGTGGCAAAAGTAAAACCAACAGGCCTTGGTAATCAATTGGATATGGGAGGTGAGAGAGAGTGAGGAGCTGAAAACGATGCCTACAATATGAACTTGGGGACCTAGAAGGATGGTGATGCCCTCCTGAGTAATAGGGAAGTTTGGAATCTGGAAACAGGGAGTTTTGGGATGAAGATAATGAGTTCAGTTTTGGATTTCCACAGGACATACATCATGAGAGGCAGATGGAGATAGAGCCTGGAAGTCAGTAGAAAGGTTAGGGCTGGGTAAATAGATCTGAGAATCATCAGCATAAAGATGAGAACTGAATACTTGGGAGCTAATGAGAAGGAAAATAGTAGAGGGATAGAAGATTGAGATTTCTCCAGTGCTGGAGTGCCCATGAGCACACTGGAGAAGGAAATGGCAAACCACCCCAGTATCTTTGTCAAGAAAATCCCATGGACAATATGGTCCATGGGGTCACAAAGAGTTAGACATGACTGAACAACAATAATGTATATATGCATATATCTGTACATGCACATCACTAGGGGAAAGGATGAGTATTAACTATAGAGGAACACATGAAAGTGTCCTTACCATTGGCTTTATTAGATGGGTTGGACTCTAAGCCACTCCCCACCCCACCCCACCCCCAAGCTTCTAAACCAACCTACAAACCAGGTCTGTCATCGGCTTATACCTCTATGTTCTCTGCTCAAATTGTAGAATATATTTCCTTGGGAGAATGGATGGACTAACATAAGACTTCCTGGGCAAGACGGGCAGCTGCTCCTTTCTTCCAGTGTTAGCAGGGTACCTGGAACAAAGTAGGCCCTTAACAAATGTTGTTGTGGTTGTGGTTGTTGTTGTAGTTTTTTGTTTTTTGGTTTTTTTTGCTTTTTGGTGAGGCAATCAGGGTTAAGTGACTTGCCCAAGGTCACACAGCTAGCGAGTGTAATGTGTCTGAGGCCAGATTTGAACTCAGGTCCTCCTGACTCCAAGGCCAGTGCTCTATCCACTGTACCACCTAGCTGCCCCTTGTTGTTGTTTTTAACTATTTATTGACTGAGCCAGACTGAAGCCTCTAGCCCAGGGGTGGGGAACCAGTGACCTCAAGGCCGAACTTGGCCCTCTAAGTCCTCAAGTGTGGCCCAAGGACATTTAGGGTTAGGGGCTGCACTTGAGGACCTAGAGGACCACATGGGGTTCCCCACTCTTGCTCCAGCCCAACAGGCTTTTGAAGGGAGGGAAACCTGGAGGAACCATTTTCTCGGCATCCTCTTTGGGCCAAGGTATGTGGGGGTTGGGTAGGGAGAAAACTAAGGAGTCCTCTGGGGGAGGAGGGGGAGTGCAAGCAAAAAGGAGGATGTAACTACAGGGATGTAACCTCCCTGAGAAGGAACTCAGACATCTAGGAGCCAGTCGAAGTGAGAAGGGCCCCCGGGGTGGGGCTGAATGTAGGACAATTAGGTGGTACTTATCGGAGCCTTTGAGGTTTGTTTATGCAAGCCAGATTAGGGGGTGGGCCCTTAGCCACTCTGCAACTTATATAAGTCTCACCCTGGCGCTCCCCAGAGAGTCAAAGTGCGTCCCCCTCAGTGTCTACTGACTGTCCTCCCCATGACTAAGGCTCCTTTTTCTGTGGAATGGCTCTCCCAGAGCAGCCAAAATCCCTCACACCTTGGCCATGGTGACTCTGAGACTTCCACCCTAAGGGGAGACCCAAGGCCCCAGGGCCTCTTGGGGGATCCTTTCTCGGGTTCCCCTGCTACCTTGGGGTCAGAGGGCCCTTCCATGAGTTCCCGGCCTCCAGAGCTACAGGCCGCCGCCATCGGAGGGTTTTCGTCAGTCAGTAAGTGCTCTCTCCAATTGTGGGGGTCAATAGAGAAGGGGGTCCCAAATGAGGATGGGGTGGAGAGAAAGGCCAAAATCACAGAAAAGAGTTGTGTTTGTGGGGTAAGAGGGGAGGAGGCAGGGAAAGGGGGGTCACGGGTGGCTAGAAGGGATGAGACAGGACGGGACCAGACTGGATCAGGCCCACCCAATAGGGGAACTCACTGGTTCCAGGAAAGCTTGATTCCTGCTTGACCGCCTTTCCTCCAGAAGCCAGAAGGGTGCAGTTCAGGGTCAAGTCGTGTTAGAGGGTGAGGCGAGGTACTCTCGTCTGCTCTACCTATCATTTGGGGAGCTCCCCACCACTCAGGGCCACGTGTTTTGACTAGTAAGGAAGCACTTAGCTTACCCGCCAGCCCTGATTGACCCTCCCTACCAGAGCAAGCTGTCATTTGGAGAGATTCCTAGTCATTCAACCTGCGCGGATGCTAGGGCCCCCGGGGAGGGCGTGGCGACAGGTCTGGGTGGGAAGGCCTAGACCTCCTAAGCGCCTCCTTTCTCCCTAGAATCCTGGTCTCAGGGCGAGAAGGCTTCCCCTGAGGTCAGCACTGGCAGCTGCGGGCTGTCAGAGAGCCCAGGCGCCGAACCCCATGGCCGGGGGGCTCGCCGCCTTCGCACGGCTTTCACGACCAAGCAGATCAGCACTCTGGAGAGCTCCTTCAAACGCCACCACTACTTGGGCGCTGCTGAGAGGCGCAAACTTGCCGGCAAGATGCAGCTGTCAGAAGTTCAGGTATCCGATCGGGTTGGGGGCGGGGGGGGAAGGAGTTTCCCACTACACCCCATCCTACCCTCACCCTCGAGCCTGGCCGCCAGCCTGCAGCGATGCTCAGGCTTGGCTTTTTGGGCTCCCACAGATAAAAACCTGGTTCCAGAATCGCCGAATGAAGCTGAAGCGCCAGCTGCAGGATTTGAGGCCCCCCGACCCGCCTCCAGGCTTCCCCCTCCATCTCTACAGCCCCCTGCTTCTGCGCTCCGCACCAATGCCGCCTCCAGGCCTGCCATACGTGTACCCCAGTTCACCGCAGCTCCAAGTCCCCGGCCTTGTCCAGGAGCCCTTTGCTGGTGGCCTGGCCCTCCCACCTCTGCCCTTATCCCCCAGCTCCTGCAAAGTAGCCCCTCCTGCCATCCCGTCGGTGCTGGCCTGTCTGCTGAGCGGTTGCCCAGACCAGGCCTCCTTCCTGAGAGCATTGTGACATTTGGGGCCCGCCCACTTTGAGGGTGACATTGATACTGAGGAAAAAGAGATAAGGGACTGGACTGGACAGGACAGGAAGCCTCCAGGAGACAAAGTCTGAGACAGAAGACCTTAGTTTCCCTGTGACTTCTGCCCCACTGGAGGCCCTCCAAACGTGAACTTACATGTATATATTTGCAAATTTTTGTCGAAGTATATTATGTACAGAAAGAATTATTTATGGAAATATTAAAGAATAGTTAGGTTTCTAATACATCTTATGTGTATATATGTAATTTGGGATTTTGCAAAAGAAAGCAGCCCACTTCTGATGATTCCATTCCATTCCAAAAGAGAAACAACTTAGCAATCATTATAAAGATGGGGGGGGCATCTTCTTGCAGGAGGTGTTCAAAACTCAAGGTGAGAGGAGAGAGCATTCTAGGAGAAGATAAGGCAAAGACAGGAGATGGAAAATGGGGGAGGTTTGGTTCTCTGTGTGAAAAACATCCTGGCCAATGAGAAGTGAAGGCCAAAGAGCAGAGCATATCTGAACCTGGAGGTAATAGGGGGAGCCAATTCAATTCATTTGCAAGAGGTTACTCATCAACGAATTAGGCTGAGGATTCTGAGCCAAAGTTACTGCAGGGGGCAGGGAGGGAAGAATCTGGTCCCTGCATAGTTTGGGGGCAGGATTGAGCAGAGAAAAAGGAGAGCAGTCTCTTCTACTGATGGGGAGGGACTCCCTAAATGAGCAGTCCCTCCACTCAATTTGAGGCCCCTTTAACCATAACCACAGTGCAAAGCAAGGTTTTTACCCTATAGGGCTGACTCCTGCTTACCTTGGGGTTCAGAATTTATCTAGATACTACCAAGACTAGAGGCTGAATCAATATTTGCAAACTGGTCACGGTTGAGAGTGAAGGGTCCATCTTCCCACAAACCCCGGGGCTGCTCTAGACCTGAGCTGTGTGGGCTCTAGCTTGTTCAGCTCCTTCCTGCCTAAAATGCCCAGAAGTGAATGGAGACTCCAGAGATTTGCAGGGAGGGAGCAGTGAGGGCAGAGCAGCAACCTGACCCAGGACACTTCTGCCTGATACCCTCATACAGTCAGACCAGCCATCAGGAATTTATTTCAAGCCTCAGTCGGGTGATGTGTTGGACAATGACTGGGGCAGGAAGATAAAGCAGTCCCCTGCCTTCACAGAACTTATTCTCTGATGGGAGAGACAACGTACGCACGTTCCCACATAAGTGTGTGGGAAACATAGGTAGCCTTGGAAGGAAAAGTGGTGCCTGACATCTTTAAATGAGCAGTTAATAAAGTTTCTAGTATGTGCCACCTACTGTGCTGGGCCTGGGGGGAGGGGGGCAGTGAGGGAAATGTCAGGAAAAGTTACACACAGAAGGCGAGGATAGGATCTGAGCTGAGCTTAAAGGAAGAAGACTGAGGCAGAGAGAACTCATGGGAAATGGCACACAGTGCTCACTTAACAAATGTCAGTTGGTTGATCAAATACAGAGATCAATAAGTTGACTTCTGAAGGACAGCCAGAGTTCTAGAGGTGGAGATGGAGGAAAGCAAGCATCCCAGGATGAGGGACACATCTAGTATGGAGGTCTAGAGAAAGGAACAGTTCATAGTTGACCACCTTGTGATGTGGGGCCTGTGAGCCCCATTTTCTAAATGATAAAACTGAGGTATGTGCATGGCAGCTTGCCTAGTAAGTGACTTAGGGGGAAAGAAGCCTTTGTCAAACTGACAAGTTCACATGGGTGCTAGAGCAATATTGTTCTCAGCAAGTGAGCTGAAGGAAGGCAACCTGGCAGTGTCTCCTATTTTTATACTGGTGCAACAGAGACATATAAAGAAGACTGAGGGGAAAGGAGGGCCTGGGTCTGCTCTGGCCTCAGCTAGACCATGCACCTACATCACAGGGAAAATACTGCAGCTTATCTCAGCTCCAGAAAGGTCAGGGAGGTGAGTCTGGAGGACAGAGCTTATCCTGGGAGTCAGTACCTTGAAGGACTCCAAAAATCTGGATGGGGGAAGGAGAGCCACTTTTCAGGGCCCCTGGCTGTACCCCACCCTGTCACCCCTATCACCCCAGTGGCTCTAACTATAGGATCCATCGCCAGAGCAAGAAGTCTCCAACAGAAGCTATGCCCTAAGTTGGAGGACAAGGAAAGCAGCAGGTGTCAATGCCCAACATTGTGCTCAGAGGAATTTTGTGAACTGGATACTCAATTCTCAGCCCAACTTCATGCCTCTTTTTCTGGTCCTGTTGTTAAGTGACCAGGCCTGTGGTTCATGAGCCTGACCAGATTTCCCTTTGGGAAGGTTGCTGTAGAATTGTGGGCAGGCAGGCATTCTGACTTCTACAGAATTATTCCTGGGTTCTCTTTTTTTCCAATTCAAAAAAGTGTATTAAGTGCCTACTATATGCCAGGCACTGTGCTAGGTGCTGGGGATGCAATAAAGAAAAGAAAAGGCAATTCCTGACCTTGAGAAGTCCATCTTCTCCACCAGCAGGGCAGAGGCTTGGGAGCTCCCAGGTGCCAGAGGCCAGAGCTGCCTTTTCTCTCTAAGCTGGACGATGTCCTGAGGGATTTTTCAGAAAGGGAAGGCAGACTGGAGGAGGGAAGTTTGAGACCTTTCTGCAACGTCCCTTTCTTCTCAAGGCCAAGGAGTTCCTAGTTAGGGGTGGGGACCTGTTTACCTCTCTGTCCCCTCCAGATCAACCCTTCCACTCTAGCGGAGTACTCAGCTGGCTCTCTACATAGTCTGTGGATTAATGGATTGTAATTAGATTCCTGAGAAAGGCCCCTCCCTCTCTTCTTTCTCTCAGTTCCTGATTTTTGGTCTCTTGTCTGTCTTTCCTCTCAGTTTCTGCCTCTATCTCTGGGTCTCAGTCTCTTGGGTCTCTGCTCCGCCCCCATTCCCACCCTGAGTTTGTCTCTGGAGAGGTCTTTCCTCACTTCCCAGACTGGACTGCTGAGGCCACCAGGTGCTTTCTCTGGGAGATTTGATCCTTCCGGGAAATCTGGCACCTTGCTGGAGACAGACGAGTCCCTTAGACGTCGAAGCCACCCCCCTGCCAGGGGACTAACAGTACAAATCATTTCTCAGAATAACAAAGGACCTTCTGCCTAAACCCCGACCCCTCCCCCCCAACTCCCTAGAGACAACTTCCTGACCCTGCATTCTTCACCCACAGGCCCAAGGCTCATTCAATGACCCAGGGCTCATAGGTCAACCTCAACCTCAACACCCGTTCCTAAAAGATGAAACACCGCCTAGACTGGCCCTCCCCACCTCCACTGCCTCCACTCCAAAGTGATCACACACACACACACATACACACAGGCATCCCACCAGGAGGCTGAGTGGCAGGCAGCCAATATCCCTGGGGCAGGAGAGTGGGCATCCAACAGGGCCTCCAGCTCCATTCGTTCTGTTGGACACAGGTCAGGATGCCAGCTGGGCACCAGCATGGAGCTGCTCCTCTGGCCATGGGACATGGGTTTTGGGTAGGGAGGTGGAGGAGAGAAGCTGCTGCCCAGGGAGGGTGAGGAGGTTTCTGCAGGAGGCTGAAGCAGCCCCCAGACACAGGACTAACCAACCCCCCCCCCAACCATGGTTTGCTCTGGGAAGAGTCAGTTGCATGGTCCAGGCTCCTGGAGGGTAGAATCCTGTGCCAGCTCGAGAACTTAAAGGTCACAATTGCAGCTAATGGCCTAGACCAGGGAGCTCTCCCATAGCACAATCTTGAATCACCTGAGCCCAAGATATATGGGAAGGGGCCAGAAAGAGGAGAAGGACATGCAGATGCTGGGGGGAGGAAAGGTGATCTAGGGATCCTGGAGTGTCCTCCTTTCACATCTCCACCTGTTGCAATTGTCTCTTCTTTAAAGACCTAGTTCAGGGGTTCCCAGCCTCCTGGACTTCCAGCCCTCGCTCCTGGGAAAGGGACCCTCACTCTTGTCCAATTTGCCCTTGAGCCACAGTCTAATGGGCTCCTTTGCCTTCCTCACTCCCCAGCTACTTCTGGAGCTCATCTCAGCCAGAGGACACCTCCCTGCCTCCCCCCTTCCCCCAGGAAAATCTAAACTCTCCCCAAGGCAAGGCCTAGGTCAGTTTTCCTCTTTTGAAACTCCAGCACTTAGGTGGTTCAGTAGATAGAAGTATGGAAGACCTGAGTTCAAATCTGGCCTCAGACACCCACTAGCTATGTGACCCTGGGCAAGTCACTTAACCTCTGGAGAAGGAAATGGCAAACCTTTCCAGTATCTTTGCCAAGAAGTAAGGAGTTACTAAGAGTTGAACACCTGAATAAGAACATTCTCAGCACCTAGGCCAGGACCTGCTCTGAACATTAAGAAATGTTTACTGACTTCGGAGTACAGTGGAGGCTAAGGCCCAGACTGGCTCTGTCCTCCAGAGGCCATTTGTCCCTAGTTCCCTCCCCAACCTGGCCTAGTTTCCAGAAGCGCCATCTCTTAGCCAATACCCCACCCAATAGGAGCTGACCCCTTGGACTTGGGGAAGGCTGCCTGCCCAGACAGAGAGGAGCCAGCTAAGGACCTGTTTACCCTGCCTGGGAGGGATCAGAGATCCTTCTAAGGAGGAGCCCTGGAGAGCTGCAGGCCTAGGCCATTAGATGCAATTGTGGCCCATTATCTCTTGCTTTGATCCACAATTAGGTGTCAATTAAGTTGGGAAACTCTGTCAATTGTTGGCCTTCAGAGGAAGACAAAGGAAGGTGGGGGTGGGGTGAGGGATAAGTGAAGGCTAGGCTCTGGGTGGGCAGGGCCCCAACCTCAGGCCGTTAAATAACTGTGAGGTTCTCTACTCTCCTTGGATTCCAGTCCCAAGCAGACTCCCCTCCCCCACTGCACCCCAGGGTGGTCCGTTGAGAGAAGTGGCAACCACCTCACGAGAGGCTTAGGGTGTCGGTGAAACCTGAATTCAAATCCTGCCAAGATTTCTAGCTGCATGACCTTAGGCAAGTCATTTAG